GGACCAATGGACACAGACACAGAGTTTGAATCTGGTATAGATTTGCATAAGAGAAAAGCTGCTATAAAAGTAAGGTGTCTTGCAGAGAACCCCGGGTCTCGTCTTGTCAACATGGGAGCATCGATCCGGATCGGCAGAAGCCCGGCTCCACCCCTCCCCCATCTAACTCACCTGGCCAGTGAAGTTAAGGGGAGCAACTAATTGGTAACAACAAGACGGAGTGTGTTTGTGTGTGTGTGTGAGTGTAAGTGTAAGATATTATATGCATATGATACAGTGTTAATAAATACACGTATTACTAATAAATGTGGCGTTTTGCCTTATTCCCCCTGAAAAGATCCTGTGCAGTACTTTAAGTACAACATCCTGACCTGTAGAGATTGGTCAGTAATCTTGCTGGAAGCATGTGGTGAGAAATTTTGCTTGAATCTGATATAGTTTAAGTTAGATACTAGAACACATTTTTTCTTTATTTTTCTTGTAACCATTTCTGATTTTTATGCCTCATTACTCATACTCAAAATCTCTCTCTTTGTAGTTAATAAACTTGTTTTATTATTTGATCTAATCCAATGTATTTAAATTGAAATGTTTGGATAACTCCATTTAAGGTAATAAGCTGATATATTATTCCCTTAAAGGAATAACAGTATTACTATATTTGTACTGTCCAGAAGGGGGCTGGACAGTAAAGGATATATATCTCTGTGGGGAATCTGAGACTGGGAGTATGTTGAGGTCACCCTGCAGTATAACTAAGGCTGGTGAGTGGCAGGCTGTAGTTACACAAACACATCTGGGAGTGATCTGCATGCTGGAAGATGTTTGTGAGCAGTAATGATTGGAGGCTGCAGCAGCAAGGCATTGTAAGGCACCCCAGACTGCAGGCCAGGAGAGTAACAACCCCCACCCAACACCGATCTGGAGCGCATCCTGGTATGTCACAATATGGTTTTAATATTTATTGTTGTTAACATTTATATTGAGATAGCACAGCAAGATTCAGCCCCATTGTGCTAGGCATTGTACAAACATATAATATTCCCTGCCCCAAAGAGCTTACAATCTAAAAGATAATTATCAGGTGTCTGAGACAAATGACAACCAGTGTGGAGTGTGGAAGAAAGGTAACAAATAAATATTATAGGAGGTGTGTAATACTTAACCACTTCGTAGTAGTGATCACAGCTCTCCACCTGCTTAGCCATTATTAAGTTGTACTTAACAATGTGAATTACCACAGAGGTGAGTTTTGCATAAGGACTTGAAGGAGGACTAGCTATTTTACAGATTTTCACGGGGAGCTTTTACCAGCGCAGGAGGGGAAGCATGGGAGAGAATGTGGAAGTTCTTGTTGGAAAAATGGAGAACCAGATGGTTGACATTGACAAGAGTGAAGGTAGGAGTCAACTTTGTAATAAATTAGGTAGCATGGTCAGTCAGGTAGCATGAAGCAAAACTGTGGAGGATGTTGAAGGTCGGGAGAAGAGGTTTGTGTTTGATGCTGTCATGGCTACAGGGCAAATTGCACCTTAGACTCCTTTTAGTCCCTCTCAAGTGCACCCCTTAGCTGACAAGCCTGGCTTCCAGCATCTTGCTTTGGGTAGAATCATGCGGAAGCAATCACTCTCAGGCTGGATCTCTGGGCTACAGCCCCCTAGTTCCCAACCACATTAACAACACAAGCCCAAGTTGTTTTTTGGCATCTGTAAATTACCCTTCAGGAGTCTGTAACAGCAGTGATGCAAAAACTTTGTCTTTGAAACCATTATTTATTCATTCCTCAAAAGGTAAAAAGTATTTAGGAAAATTGGTTATCATACTGAAAGGCCTGGGCAGATACTTCCTTACTTAACCTCTCTATCCATAGCTCAAAGAGGTCCAGCTTATTCCCATTTCTGAGTTGGGAGAGCCAGCCTGTCCTGCTTGCAGTATACTCCCTCTGTCAATCTGGGTGTCAGATTCCATTTGTTGACAACCCATTCCACACTTCTCCTCCCTGAGGCCAGATTGTTTTAGGTTTAGGATTCTCTTTGATTCTGTGCACAGCCTTGGCAAGAATAAACCATTCTAGCCTGGATAGAGCCAGATATGGGGTATTCCCCAACAAATAGCTTTTCCATTGCTTTCTCCAGGACTCTTATCTGTGTCACTCCTTTGCTTCCTGCTAGTTTCACCCTTAGCCTCCTTTGATATAACTCCTGGCAGTTAAGCAGGTTAATATCAAACATAACCCGATGAGGATATATTTATTTTAAAAAAATACACCTAATGCCCTCTTTCTCCTCAGAGAAGGGGAGCCAGAGGAGGGACTTAAAGAAGAGGTGACAGAGCAATGAACCAAGAAGATGATCTTAGCAGCAGCATTTTGAATGGATTTGAGAGGGGCAAGAGTATACAGTGAGAAGAGGAGGGGCCAAGGACAGAGTCCTGAGAGACTCCTACCAAGAGAGGGAAGCTGATAATGTCCCTTTAATACTGAAGGATAAATCTCAGTATAGCTAGACAAATCCACCAAATATATGGGTTTGCTAAGAAGATAAAAACTTGGCCAGACAGATAACAGGGACATTTCTAGCCCAAAATTAAAATCTTGTAAAAACAAGCTTTTATAAAACCTAACACCAATTTTCAAAATGAAAACAATCCTTTTAAAACAAATTAATATTCCGCAGCAGTGTTAGAAACACTAACATTGCAACAGGAAGAACATGAAAGTAAAACTGACTGTAAACAAAAGTGAAACTTATTGAAAGAATATATGAGAGGCGAAAGTAAAGAAAGAAAGTAAACAGTGATAAGTAAACCGGATCTTAAAAATTATTTCACTCTTAATAATCTAAGGTTTACAGGTAAAGAAAGTTGTTTTAGATTTTTCAATTGGCATAAATGCACCTTTTTAGAATGTCCACAGTTTATAAATGTATTTTAAGAAGCATTTAAAATTAGCATTTTCTTCTATGAAGTACATGCTAAAGCACATAATTATAGTGTCTTTGGCAAGTCTACATTTTCCCAGCAAGAAACCTGTTACTCACAACAATCATATCCGTAGATGGATTAAGATCCAGAACCTCTGAATTTCTCAACAAGAAGTTATCACATCACTTTTAAAAGGGAAGTGATGTGTAGTCTCAATATAGATGCAAACTGAATTGAAAATTACTTTTCAAAGCCACAAACAGAGCTGACGGAAAAATTTTAAATTTACTGAACATGCACCTGTCAGCAAACAGGGATTCTAGTCACCATGGACATGAGCGTGCAAACACTCACTACAGAGCTCAGTGCTTAATACCATGAGTAATTGCTCATTCCTGTCCTCCAGACTCAACCTTCTTTCTATCCATATCACTGCACTTTCCATGTTAATGAATTTCTTTCACCTCAGCTACTCTCAGAGGCAATTCTCCCCTAAGTATCACCCTAAAAACTTCTTTTTCTTCATCAGTTACACAACTGACTTTCTCTGTCCAGCATTTTTATGTAATATGTCCTGTATAAAGAATGTGGTGCCAAATGAAATTGAATTGTAACAGTTACAGCTAAAATAATTATTGATAAGGAAAATGAAATAGGTAAGACTTATATCTACATCAAAAATGGAGGGCCAAATTTACCACTAGCATAAGGGAACACAATTCCATTGACATAAATAGAGTTGTAGTTGCTGTCACAGCAGTAGATTTGATCTGGAAGTTGTATTAACATAACAATAGGGCTTCTGGTTTAATGGGTTATTAATTTCATGGGGGGGGGGTATTTTTAGCAATATTTGAGTTTTATGTAGATGTCAAAAAACTAGGGGGTTTGGGGGCTCTTTGTACATACTGTAATGAGTAATGTATATTATATAATGAATAATCTCTTTGTAATGTTACCTAGTGCACTTAACGTTGTACTGTTTCAAACAGCACTATGTTAAAGCACAGGAAGGAACCTTTAGTGTGTACCAACAGGGTCTACACAGACCAATTAATGCACAACATATTAGTGTGGTTTAGAAATCACACCCCCGAATTAGTCCGCATTAATGCTCTATGTAGACAAGGCCTTAGATACAAGTAAGCACTTCAGGTGTTTTTCCAGAGTTTATGGGATAAACTCTAGTTTTAATTGATTGATTGATTGGATTTGGGGTGTTTTATTGCTGTTTATCAGTTAAAACCTAAAATCAGCAGCCCTGCATAATTAGCTGACATTGAAAGTTCATAGTGAACCACATAAAAGCAATATGATTTATTTTTGTAATATTTGAAAGTTGGCATTTACCTTGTAAAAATTCCACCATGCAAGAAATGAAGTAGAAAAATCCAGTTCAGCTTCCCAGGATCAGGGCTTCCACAGTCGTCTTTAAACCATTCATAACTAAATATCTGTACTATTATTGATGACAGCAACCTAAAAACCAGTGTCAAGATTCCCAAAGAATATTGTCCCTCACAGAAATAGTTACTAGTGACCCAGATATCTGCTGCAATATCAGCTACATAAATTACAATTCCAAGAACTGACATAGTAAAATTCCACTTCGTAAATTTCATTCTGAGTTAGTTTTTCATTATTGTCACTGTGTTATCACTTAATATAAGAAGGAGAAGAAGTCAGAGCATATCTAAATACACTCTTACACCTAGTGATACAACCTTCTCATAATGTTTTCTATAAAGCAAAGCTGTAGTGTATATTTTCAGTATGGAAAATTGAATCAAAATAAAGAGACTTCAAGTTTTATGCTCTTTGCTAGAATACTAAACTAATTCCATTGCTACATGTCCATTCCAGAAAGCGTACATGTAAACATCTTTTTAATTACACTGGTAGATGTCATTCTTCCTAGTTGCTGGCTCCTGAAAAGAAGAATAAATGAAGAGTCACCAATAACAAGAGCAATAATTCAGAAAAGCATAAAGCCCCCCAGCAAGTCACATAATAATTTAAAAGGAAAAGAAAAGTGTATGGGAGATGCTCATGGACAATCACTGGGGAAGATAAACTTCTGACCAGTTGAAATTACTCTCCTGACAGCAGTGATTCTGAACCTTGCCCAGTACCTGTGGAACTGTCTTGTTATAAGTAGACACTTCTAAGTGTAGAGTTAAGAGATGCTAAGAAACAAGCCCATTACCATGAGCTTTTTAAACCTCAGTTAGTGTGGGTAAAGATGGTGACTCCTTCCCAACACTACTCATTAAGACAGAATATTCATGAAAGCCAGCCTTTCCGGACTCTCAAAAGGTATTAGAGGCAAGGTGCGTAAGGTAATATCTTTTACTCGACCAACTTTTCTGTTGGTGACAGACACACACTTTTGATCTTACACAGAGCTCTTCTTCAGACCGTCTTACCTCACCTACCTTGTCTCGTTAATCCCCTGAGACTAACATGGCTACAACAACACTTTCAAAAAAAGTGTCTTCCACAGTCAACAGCTAATCCATGAGAATCTGGGCTTGTTTCAAGATACTACCTTCTTCCTCTGCCTCTGAGTGCTCACAAACAGTGGAGAACAATCATACCTTGAATACACGTCATTATACAGCTACACGCATTGTGTGATTGGAAAACTTTTCACTGTTTAATGGTTTTATCTTTCATGTTTGTCCATATTCAGTGACTACAAAAGATTACCCCTTAGAGGCTACTGAACAGGATCGAGATGAAAGATCATTCCTGTGCAGGAATCGCTAGCCAGACCCTGCCTTACTCAGGGCCGGCTCCAGGCACCAGCCCACCAAGCATGTGGTTGGGGCGGTGCCTGGAGAAGGGGCGGCGCGGCGGCGCATTCCAGCCCGAGAGCGGGGCTGCGACTGGGCTCGCCGCCCTCCCCGCAGCGCTCCGGCCGCCGGGGAGAGCAGAAAGCCCCGGTCGGGCTCTCCGCACTGCTCCTGGCGCTCTGGTTGCCAGGGAGAGCGATTCCCGGCCGGGCTCTCCGCCCTGCTCCAGGCGCTCTGGTCGCCGGGGAGAGTGGAGAGCTCCGGCCTGGCTCTCCGCCCTTCTCCCAGCGCTCTGGCCGTCGGGGGCTCACCGCCAGGGAGAGCAGAAAGCCCCGGTCGGGCTCTCCGCCCTGTTCCTGGCGCTCTGGTCGCCTGGGAGAGCGGAGAGCCCCGGCCGGGCTCTCCGCCCTGCTCCCAGCGCTCTGGCCGTCGGGGGCTCACTGCCGGGGAGAGCAGAAAGCCCCGGTCGGGCTCTCCGCCCTGCTCCCAGCACTCTGGCCACCCGGGGAAGCGGAGAGCCCCAGCTGGGCTCTCTGCCCTCCTCC